ATGTTAAAAATCATGTATTTTTAAAAGCTGATCTGTAAATTGCATTGGCTTTTCAATTTGAAACAGATTTTTAAAAACAAATTCTTCATAAAGAACTGTTTAAAATAATGGAGTTTAATAATAGAAGTCTAGATAGCATTACTGCCTCAAAACTTAGGTTAGTCATAAAAATTTAACAATTTTTCCCTAGTACTGAAGGAGAAGCCTGCAATTACATATAAATATCTCTAGAGCACTGTCAACAGTACATACTAATTTGGTGTTGCATGCCTATTCTTGTACCATTCTTTAATGAGTGCTATAGAAATCTTTGTCTGTTACTTAACTAACTGACCAGTTCAGAAAGTCAGCAATTACTTTAGCAAAACTAAATATACATTTATCATCAAAATTAGTCCAGAATAAGATAACATTAAACAATGGCGTTCTTTAAAACAGTGGATTAACTTTCTAACGAAATGTCCATACTTAAGTACTATCTATATCTTATCTTGCTATAACCTTGCAAACTGCTAAATTCAGTGTAACTAATGATAATGTGAAAAACTTCAGGATTTTGTAAATTTCCACTCAAATACAGAATTAATCTTTTCAAGTAGATTTTACAAATTAAGTTTACCCATGCCTCTTTTCACCCCTTTTCTGGCCTCATCAAAAAGCCAGCCATCTATGATGAGGACAAAGACTTTTCCAAAGATCTACAAACAATGTGGTAATACATAGCCAGTTAGTTTATTGTTTGAAATAGCCATTAACCCACAGTCTCAAGGGGTTTCTCGCCTTCTGAGCATAAGGCTGCAGATGAAACCTTTTTTCTCCCATGGACAATATTTTCCTGTCCAGCAAAATACTATTGCTATCTCCCCACAAAAAGAAAAGAAGAAAAAAAAAACCACCTAAAAAACAAACCCAAACTTCTGTTCCAGACCATACATGCCACTAACACAGGGGAACAGTACTCTTTTCCCTGATGGAGGTAACTGTGGGCTTGTTCATGGCAACTTTGTTTATTATTCCTCATTCATTTGCTTTATACATTTCAAATATCTCTATTTAAAGAGATTCATATTGAGTAAAATACTTCTGTTTCAACATAAGCTCTTCAACACTAATGTATTTCAGTAGAGTTAGGAAGTACTTCCTGCATTTTCTTTTTCAGCTATCCTATAGATAGATTTCAACTGTTGGCAGCTTCAGCTTGTTGCTAGGACAGTTCTTTAGAATTCTGAAACTATTCTGGAGTAGGAATGATTAAACACCAGCTAAGAAGTTAAAACTACTTTCTTTGCCAATAATTATCTTGGTCCATTCTTTTACAGTTGTACAGGAATGTCACAATTTTGATATAAACAACATTGTATGGAGAAAGTATAAGAAATTATGCACACCTAGACCATCTTACGTAAGCCTGGGGATAATTTGTTTGTCTTACAGCACCGCATGATATGGGAATGTTCCCACCACTCCGGGGAGCTGTGCTACGTCCAAGTCAAACATGCGCCACAGAAACAGCGGAACCTTGCTTTCTCTAGATTGACACATGGAAACTGAGCCTAATATGTTTGGTTTCAGGCTGCAGATTATCCCTCTGCAGGGACATCAGCAGAGTCCCCCTGCCTGGCTGCTTCTTTCCATAAAATGTATAATAATCATGATCTCTACCTCATGATTAGATTTGTTGACAGATTTTTGTTTGACACACAAAGTGCAAGTGCTTGGGTGTTTGTTTTAAATAAGCTTACTTATGTTCATCTGCACCTGCTATATGCAGCAGTTTGACAGAGTTAGGAGACTCATATTTTTGTTAGCATTCCTTTGTCAAAAATGATAGGTACTACAGGAACGACAGTAAAACTCTAAAGATTACTTTAGTTCTGTGCTCTTGATTCAGACAACACAGCCATACCCTACACACTGCAGTTTGTGACAGTCAACTGTAATACACACACACGAAACACAACAAGGACACAGGTGTACAGCTAAGATTTGTAGGTAATTTTTCACCACCTACAGAAACTTTTTTAAAAACATACTTTCTACTTTGCTGTTCTTTATTTTTACAGCATTCTTCTTTCTTTCTCCTCTTTTACCTCATATTCATTGGGAAGATATTTCTGTATTAAATTCTTATATTAATTTTTTTTCTTTTTTCACTATATTGAATTTCACCTGTTGTTTTGTGATTTACAGGCCATTGTCCTGGCATCTGTTTGTCTAGACATCCATGGGTACTTTTCAAAAGTTATTTGCAACACTTGCCTCAGTCTTGAGCACACATTGTGGTTTTAAGGCAGCTATCAGTAGGTGAGAACTGGATGTCAGTGAAGCATGACTTGCAAAGAAACATAATAACGTATATTGGCCCAAGTGACAGCTGGTTAAAACACAGGTTTGAGTGGACACGTTCTCCAGTTGCAGCAGGCCTGAAAGACCACAGAACTCATGTGCCGCACTACTTTTCTGCTTTTTGTACTTACATGATGTGGTTTGCTAAAAGTTCTTACCCACAGCTTTGCCTTGCTCTATCGTCAAAACTTCATAACTAACTAGGCTACTACCACGAGATGTTCCATGGCTCTACAGGCACTGCACTCCCACCGCTGCTGTTTGCCAGACTTAAACAGAAGTTTGTGGCTTATTGATTCCTCTGGTTTACTCTCCTAAGTTTAGAAAGGGCTCATTCAAATGTTAATTTGGAAAAATAAATAAAGGCCAATGTTTCAAGGGCAAAAAGTTTCCAGAAATCCACATTTCAGATTACTGAAATCTGGTTCATGAACTTGGCAAAGCAGCTGGGATTTACCAAGCTTCTCCTAAGCGAAATGTGAAGCCATCCTGTTTTGCCTGTTTGTTCACTTAAATTGGTCCATAATAATTTCTAAGATACGTTTTTACACGCTTGATTCGCACAGATCATTATTTCTTTGTACAATCAGACTGCAGAAGCTCAATTCTGGCAAATACAAGCTGGCTAAAAAGCACTGATGGAGCTCATACAAGAAAAGTAGCAGGGCTTTGTATCAGTTTCAGTTCCCACTGTGTCCTCTCTGCAGAGGGAAGTTTGGAAGTTGCAGATTTGCTGTACCCACTAAAAGACCATCTGCCACTTGCCAGTGCACCCAGATCTCTGTCCACTCTAAAGAACAACGTTGTGATGGGGCAGAGGTGACTCTGATTGTTTAACTTTTATTTACTAATACAGAATTTTTACTTCCCATGGTCAACACTTTCTTTGCTCGCACATAGAAAACATTAGAGCTTGCAAATAAAACTGTCAACATTTTTAACAGCAATGCATATTATGAAATCAGAGAAGATTGTTGTTCTTATGCCAAGCATGTACATTGTACCATGTAAGCGTATGTTGAAAAATTAAATAAATATGCTAGACTCTTTTCATGAGCCCAGCAAGCTGTAAACTATGATTATCCCTCTCTCCAGTAAAGGCTCGACCATAGCCCCTGCTAAAATATTATATCATGATGGCAAATTTCTTTAAAAGAAACAGGCTTCGTAGGTACTGCCAGCTTTGTAACATGCTGTCAGGTTTCATTTGCAATTCTAAGACACTTTCTTCCACAGCTCTTTCCTGAAATTGATTTCACAAAGAAATCCTATATTAGGATATTTAAATTTTTTAAAACACTTTTATACCACTACCAAAGTAGCATTCATAGGTTAAAATCAGCACTAAAATATAAAATAAGATTGAAAATGCCCTAGAGTTTAGAAAACTGCATTAAGCTAAATTCAGCTCTGGAACAGCAGATAATATTTATATATACACAAGGAATTAATTTCTTTTTTTTTTCCTCTTAAAATTACTCATACACTTCTACAGCCAATTCCCTATGCTTCTAACATGGCAGTGAAAAACTAAATTGCTACTGACTTTTGCTACAAGCAAGATAAGAGACTGTCAGAGGTGAAGAAATAAAGTACTTCCTGTAACTAACATAAAATACTTAGAACTGACAATTAAGTAAACACTATGACTTAGAAAATATGACAGTTTGCACCTAATTTGCATAGTCCTTTATGAAGTGCAAGTGTGTGACAGTGCAAGTGCTTGATTATTCCAAGGTTTTGGGGCTTTTTTAAATACTCATGACAGAAAATTTACTGCAGAATCAAAGCTATAAAAGGTAAACAAATACAATGAAATCACCTGAACTTGTTAAACAGAAACAGTTCCTTTGTGAGAAGTACAAACCACTGGTGATAAAGTATGGAGTACTGATAGCGAGAGCAAACCAAGGCAATGTAAACATTAGCATTAGCTGTTCTGCCATTTCTTCTCAGATATCTAGAAAATGTATTGGTCCACTGATGCTGAAAGTAAGAACAGTTTCTCATTTAATCCTTCCCAAACAATAGGTCTACTGCCTGTACTCTACAGGTCCCATCATCTCTCTGGGACCAAACTATAAAACTACCGCCTACTCCATTTCACCGTCTCTGTAATTCATAGCTATCAATCCTTCATCTTTTCAAGCCATTTTCAGCAATTCAAAATCTGTGACATACTGGCACTTAAGGACAAATATAATGGAAAACTAATTTGAATTAATTTGTAAATAAGAATGACCAATCTAAAAACTTTTAAGCTCTCTAAAATAGTTTCCTCAGCCTTATAACTTGTTTCTATACTCCAGTAAAGCAGCATTCTCCTATAACTGAAAGAGTGTAAGAAGAACCTGGGTCAGCCAATTAATTGAAAATAAAATCCTAATTCCATCAACCCTGCACGTGAAATCAGTGCAACACCCATGTTTTCCTACAGAAATATGATTTTTTTGCAATTCTGGAAGTGAATTACAGATATATGTTTAACTATTAGGAGCAAAAGGTTGTTTCTGAGCTGGGGTTTTTTGTTAGTGTTTTTTTTTTCTTGTTTGGTTTTTTAAAGATTTTTGAAAGGAACTGAAAAGAGGCAACAGTAATAATCATAGATCAGTTCCAATCTAACAGCAAGCAGCCACTGGAAGGGATGGTCCTACCCTTTCTTCTTCCCATCAGGATGTGTACCCTTGCCTCTTTCCGTGGACCTGGTTGAGTGATGGAGCAGACATACAGCGAGTCAGATCAGCTGGCTGCTCTGGCAGAAAATTGTCCCTAGGAGGGAAAAAAAAATTAAAAAAATCGCTCAAGTAGCTGAATTACTTTAACATGCAACTTCAGGGCTGCTAGCTCAGATACATGGGATGGGAAACCTGGAAGAGGAGGGAAAAGAGAAATAGGACTGCCTCTTTCCATAACTCAGTGTTTCATTATGTTAGCTGTAATGTGAAACCTCATCTGAAGGCACCTTCTTCTGCTCTTGGAGGTTTCAATTTGCCACATAGTAGCCTGTGCCCCACTGAAAAAAAAAAAAAAAAATGTGCGGGGGGTTACAACTGAAAAAACGAATTAAAAAAAAAAAGGGGGGATTTCCATTAATTTCCAGCCTTGCTCTCAAAGGGAACAAGAGAATCAGCCAAAGCAAAGCCGTACTTCCTATCTTCCTATAGGTCTTGCTGCTAAAAATATAATAAATAATTAGGTGCGCCCATCTTTATGTAAATAGCTTCTGTAAGAGCAGCTGCACTGAGAGAAAAGGGCAGTCTAACCCTGAAAGAAAAAAACACTTCTAAACGCTCAACACAATTCACCTCCGGGACACTTCTCAGCGCTCCGCAGCAGGAAGACCAGGAGCCTCGAATGGGAATTTTTGTCTCCGTGAGACGCCCCCCGAAGGCCGCAGGCGGGCGCCGGCAAACACCGGGCATTTCCCCTTCCCGCCGGTGGCGGCCTCCTCCCGTCCGACGGCGGGAAGGGGGGACCCGGGGCGCTGCCTAACGCAACCACGTAGCGCAGGGATAGCGCAGCCCCACCCCGTGTCGCCGCACGTTACCGGCGGCGGCACGAACGGCCCCCCTGAGGGACGGCGCCGTTCGCCGCCATCGCCCCGCTCGTGCCTCCCCTCACGCGTCTGCCAACAGCCCCGCGCGCGCGCCCGGCAGCCCCTCCCTCGCCGCTTGTTTTGGAGGCGCGCGTGGTCCTCTCCCATTGGTCGGCGCGCCCCTCCCGGCCCCGCCCCCGCGGACTACAGTTCCCGGGATGCCGCGCGCCCGCCGGAGGAGCGGGCGGTTGGGTACAGCCGTGGCGGTGGTTGCGCGAGAGGTGCGTGTGCGCGCGCGCCGGTGCTGTGGCGATCGCGGCAGCGGCTGCGCGCGGGCAGGTTGAGGTGAGCGCGGCGCCCCCCGTCACCCCCGACGGCTCCTGCCGGGAGGAGACGTTGCCACCGCTACCCAGCCTCGGTTATCCCGCCCGTCGGTCTCCTTCCTGTGGCCGCGGCCGCTGCTGTTGCGCGACAGGGTGAGGGCCGCCCTCCCCCGTCAGCCGCGGCGGGCGGAGCGGCGGCGGGCGGCAGCAGCAGCATGAGAGGCGGCGGTGCCGCCGTCCGGAGCAGAGCGGTGAGGGCAGGGTTGGCAACGCGGTTGCTGGCGGCGCTCAGCTGCGTCCTGACAGTGGAGGCCCAGGTAGGAACCCAGCGGCGGGTGGGACGGTGCAGTAGGGTCCCCTCATGGTGGGGAGGGGGGGAGCCAGGGTGCCCCGCTGGCTGCGGGTAGGGCTGTGGAGCCCTCCCTGGGGAGAAGGGGAGCGGAGGGTCCTCCCTGTCGCGGGTGGTTCGGGGGTCGTGGGGGCAGAGGGCAGCTTCGGGCTGTGTCTTGTGCAGCCTCCCCGGCGGGGAAGTCTGGGGGTCCTTCGGTGAAGCGGGTAGCCCCGCGTCTTTCCTCTTCCATACCCGGCGGTTGCTGCTCGCTGGGAGCGCGCCCGGGGCCTCCGGGCTGTGGGGCCCTGCTGCCACAGCCGGGGGAGAAGTTGGTTGACTTGTGAACCACCGGTAGCGCCCTTAAATAGCGGTCCAGCTACACCGAGGAGTTGTTTAATGTTGGTAATAGTGCTCGCTGCCTGTGGGGTGTTGGATTGAGGAGCTCTGGGTTGGAGCATACTCTTACCTTTTAGGTAGAAACTTCAGTGTCCTTAAATAGTCGATGAGAAGCCATATGTTCCAATGGTAATATCAGTGCCCGGGCTTAGCTTGTGTTTAGATCGTGTCTGTTTGCCCGTATTACAAAGCAGGTTGAGAGTGCCCCTTCTTGCGAAATGCCTTCACAGCCTCAGAAGGACAAGTGTCTGTAGTTGGGAGCTTGCTATTCATCAGCAGCATCACTGTGACTGAAGTAATAGACGGTGTCAAGTAGGGAAGGATTTCAGCTGGGCTAAAGACATCAGAGTTGATACAGAAGTACTATGTCCACATAAAGCAACATTTTTCTTCTGTATCTGATTATTATTTTTCTTATATTTTCTAAATTTCTGCTTTGTATGGCATGCTATATTGTGAGCGTCCAAGGCAGTGAGTAGAATAGTCAAGCATAGACAGCTTTTATTGCAGATATTTTTTTTTTGTTGTAAGTTGAGTTTTTCTCAGGTTTAAAAATCTCTTATTTTAATGGCTATTTTAGTGTAACTAAATGCTAATTGAATTGGGATTCATAAAGAAGGCATTAACAAACTGGCATGGTTTTCTTATGGCGCTTGGCAGAGAGATCAGTTGCTATTTCATAAAATTGTTAGCATATTGTACTCAGAGTTTAAGTTCCTAAAGTTTGACTTGTACAAGGAAAAGATAAGCTACCCATTAGTTCTTGGACTCATGTTACCTGTAACTTTTCTTTCATTGTGTAGCTATGGCAAAGTAAAACATCAAGAAACAAAACAAGGTGTCCCAGGTGGTCTTTTAATTGTTGAAGCAATTAAACTACAACAACCTGATAACACTAATAAGGTTGTTTGTGTGAGTGCCTGTTAGTATATGCATTTATTCTGGTATTTCTTAATGTTGAAGTGCTGAATACATTTCTCTTTCCAGATTTCATATGGAGAAATTGATGCAGGTTGGAGATTGACCTTTTCTTCTGAAAGGTTGATTTATCTTGGAGAAGATAAGTTAGAAGTTTAACATCTCCAGGACAGCTCTGATATCTGTACAAGAACTAAACTAGGTTTGACAATACATAGAAATATTTTGATAAGCATACTTAAAATATAGAAGAAATAGCAGCTATTGAATGTCAGATAACTTCTTGGACACAAACTATAGTAGGCTACTGCTTTTAGAGTTTATTGTAGAGTTCAAAGTAATTAGCAGATGAAAAGAAAGCTTGTTACTTGGCCATTATAATCCAAGTTCTGATAAGTTGCAGTACAGTTTAACTCTATATTTGTGGACAAAATTAACTAGTATAATTCAATTAAAAAAAGGCAAATACCAATTGTGTGAATAGCAAAGTAGGTATTGCAATATGTAATTTTAACTGTGTAGTACGCTATTCTTATTTTGAGGTCTCTAGTTTGAAAAAGAATTCACTGGAAAATCCAGGTGTTGACAAAAAAGAAAAAAATTTCAGCATGTTCTTAGAGTGTTCCATCATTACACAAGTGAGAGCACTTAAGGCTATACCTCGACTAATAAAAAACTTCTAACTGGAGTACTTGAAGCCTGTGTTGCTGTTGTATTAGTGTGCTATAAACCAGCTCCACCAGCAGGGTTGGTGTTTCATATGTGCTGTCAAACCATTTTGCAAATTGTGGTTTGGTACAGATATAGCATAGTTTAATTTTAGAGCATGCCTTCCAAGGAAACATTGATTTTGCTATTTTTTGTATACAGGGAGCTAACTGTTCCAGTTCTGAAAAAGTTGTGAAAAAGAAATTGAGAATTTCATGTGCTTGCTTTTGCTATACTAAATTATTTTTTCTCTTAATTTCTTAGACCCGTTCTAGTTTGGGGGGAGGGTTTATTTCTGAAACTTCATAATGTTCTAAATAAACTGTACTGCATTTTGAAAGATGTTCTTAGAACTGAGATTTTTATCAGAGACATGTGGCAAATGGAGGTGTGACCTCCATTAGTTTGCCATCTTAGCTGAATATAAAGACTGCAGCTTTTTGTTTTTCCATGGGAATTTGACACTGAGTGTAATTATTGCATGTTTATTTGGAATATTTTCCCCTGAAAAAGCACTTTCAGTTTTGCATAGACAGTAAAAATATTTTTGTAAGCAGTGGATAGTGTCATGAGGTCGTCATCTAAATAGTTTCCTACTCTTTATCTTCTGAGTCCAAAGAAAATTTCTCAGGTCTTTCCTACTGCTTTCAGCTTAGTAAGTGATTGCTTTTCACACAAGATTTATCCTGTTTATTATTTAATAATATTTGAACAGAATGTTCAGTTGTCTTTTTGACTTTTTATATTATAATGAAATGTACTGCTGTTTGTTTTGTGATATGGTATTACCTGTGAAGACTGTAAAATTAATTTCTGCCTATGTATAACTGATAAGAAAACTTGAAATTTTTAATGAAATCATTATAGATTAAAATGCATGGGGTTTTTATTTCTGTACCTATCAATAATAACGAGTTTTGTCTTCTGACTTTGAAGTTGGCAGTCACATGGACTGTAAGCTTTCTTGGCTTTGTGAAAAACCTGTAATTGCACATATTGTGTTTCATAGCTGTTTGCCCAGGTTTGAAGTTAGATAACATTAACAAATGCAAGCATAACAGCATTGGAAGACTTCGGATAAAGTAACTTTCTCTTAAATGATTTTTACTTCATTGCCCTATCTACTCTGCAGAATTGTGACAGCTTATTTAGTGCTTCAGGAAAAGTAGGTTCTACATAAGGTGAATTTTCTACTTAAATGTGTTGTTGCCATACTCTCACCTCTTTATTCTCGTGGGAGTTTGGGGAAAATCCATTTTCCAGGCCTTCTTTATGCTTCATAAAAGAGCAGAAGCTTACAATTTGGTTTGTAGTGTCTCTCTTACATCAAGCTTGGTTATATAAGGGTATCTGTTCCGTAAAGTAGTGAAGTGATTTATCATGCATGAAACAGATTAGATGATTTCATAATCTCATCTATGTGAAATCTGTGGAGAAAAAAAGAGCCACAGAATATTTTCTGACTCTTTTGCACATAACCTTTTAATAGTTAGTTCTTCTAAGCCTGTGCAAGATATGTTTAGGCTTTCCTATTTTATATGCTGTCTAGGCCATCCTGTGTGTCAGTGAATTTCTTGTCTGGCTGAAGAGTAATAGTATCAGTGCTGTTTGCTTCCATTCCTTTAGATATGGTCTAAAGCTTTCAAGCATAATGTTTGAAAGGCCTTTCAAACATGTTTGTAGTTGTTTAAGAAACTATGCTTAGGAGTAGCTAGTATCATAAAAAATTCATAGAATCACACTTCCAGTGTTTCCACATTTCACTAAGACACTGTCAGGGTCTCGGCAGAAGTGTTGGTGTAGCTTAGTCTATTAGGTCAGTTGTGTGACTTGCACAGTCCTGCCTTCCTCTCCTGTGCTGACAGTAGCACTTGTGTGTGCTCCTTTTCATAGAGCTGGTCTTAAGCTAGTGTAATGCCTTGGACCAGCTTGCTATCCTAGCACAGGAAGAGGGAATGGTCAGACTTAGTTTCATAGTAGATTTATAGCTTTACAACATAGGTGCCTGCACCTGTTTTTCCTATTTGTAGAATTTAACTGTTACTAACTTCTTGGGCACAGAAGTACATATTCCCCTTTCTACCATGCCTATAAAGAAACTAGGTGGAGTGTTCTTACACTTTGAGAAGAATTATAAGATGACAGATGCATTTTTTAGGCAATTCAACTAATCAGTGTTTGCTAGGAGAATACTTGGTATGCTGCTCTGATGTTCTAACGTGTGTCCGTAGTTTGGAAAATCTTGCTGCTCATTCGGCAGAAAGTTCTATGTGCTGAATCTGTCAACAAATTTCAGGCCTGAAATTATTAATCTGGCTAACATTGATTCAACATTCCATTTGGACTGAAGCTCACATGTGCTAAGGTCTGTTATTTTCTAATTCTGAGTATGTAAGGTATGTTCCAGAGTATTTTAATGGTGAGAAATAAATTATATGCTGTGGAGCTGCATTTAACTAGCATTTATTTTGACTGCGATTTTTTTTTCTCTTTACAGGATTTTTCTGTAGTTAATATTGCATTACTAAAAATAAATTTTAATGTATTTTTTTTAATAGCTCACAGGAGTCCTAGACGATTGTTTATGTGATATAGAAAGCATCGATGACTTCAATACTTTCAAGATCTTCCCCAAAATACAAAAACTGCAAGAGCGTGATTACTTCAGATATTACAAGGTACAATTAGAATGGTATTTTCCTGAATAATTTAAATCCAGAAAATATAGGGAGGATTACATATCAAACCAACTTGTCTGCATTAAGCTGTCTTTTAGAAGCCCACAACTCTTTAATTTGTTTGTAGCAGGTTTTTAGTCCCTGACAGTTACGTTGGTAATACGTCATGTTTGCTGTGTTAATCCTGGAGTCCGTGACAGTAATTCATGACTGCTTTCATTCAACTGATAAGTGGTAATTTTAAAGGTAGTATCTTTGTACTGCTGCATCTAGAAGAGGATTGCATATTAGCAACTTTCTGACAGCACGCAGTACTTGTCTTCTAAGAAATGTACGTAATGTGAAATGGAAATGTTGCAATGATTTCTTTTCCTGTAAGTTGCTCTCTTAGTTTTGATTTTAGTGTTTGCCATCTAGAGAACTGTTGCTTCTTTGAAAAATAGGTAGAAATATTCAACTTTCAGGCAGTATTTAATATCACTTTTTTATGACTTCCTAATACAGGGGGAAAAAATGTTTAATCTGATGAGCAAAATAAGACTTTGTAGCCTGATTTACTTCTGTTTTCGGGTATGCTTAACTTGAAAATGAGGTTGCATTTTGCCTGAGCTAATGAGATGGTTGCCTGCCACTGGAAAAAGGAGGTTTTACTCCTTTAGAGTAGACCATCCTGCCTTTTCTGCTTGTCCCTACTTCTAGCTCTTGGGCTTGTCTGACTGCATTAGACCAATGCATCACTCTTTAACCTGGTAGATTTTTAGTTTAGATGTTTGGTTTGGGGTTTTTTGGGGGGGTTTTGTTGTTGTTCTTTTTTTTTCTTTCCAGGATGTAGCAAGTTATCTAGCTGATCTGGAATCAGACAAGTATTAAACTCATGCAAGATGCAGTTATGAATGTGAGGAAGGAGAGAAAAAAAGTGTTAGAATCTTCCCTTTCTAGTGTGAACAAGCAGTACTGTGTAACATCATCCTGAATCTCCTCCTGCTACGTGATACAGTTTTAACTTCACTCTTCAGGAGAAACAAGATATGTACAACTTCAGTGATAATGCATCACATAGTAGTGGTAATATAGATTCTCCAAAGGCTACAGATATAAACCAAAGTATTTGACGAAGAGGAGCAACAGGTATACAAGGTTTTCTACAACAGTAATTTCATCTTGCAAATTTAGAGCTAATCTTCCTTTCAACAGCAGTTCTGCAGATCATACTTGAATGGTGTGTTGTAATCCTACCTCATCTTTCATACTGATCTTCCTAATAGACGTGCAATTGCAAGGGCCAACGTGCAGTCCACCCATCACCAGACATTTAGTACTTCTGTTTGTGACAGGGAAGAATTTGTGTTGAACAAGGAAACTGAGCAAGTCAGAATGTTTTTCACCCTTTCCCCTCTAAATAACAACAGAGGTTTTTCTTATATCCCTGCACAGAATCACAGAAGTGCACATAGATGGATGTGGAAATTGTGAGGATAGGCAATTCTAGGATCATCTAGGTCAACTACAGTGTAGCTAAATACTGAATAAGCGTGGGGGAGTATACTTGTTTTGGGAGTGAAAGCACTCCTCCTCTGAAGTAATTTAATTTGTAAGAAGAATTTGGATCGTGAACTTTTGTAGCTACAGTCACAATCATCCCATTATGTTACTAGTTCAACAGCCATAAAAGAACTCTAACCTATAATACTGAATGGACTAACTAGTTTTTATTTAAAGGCCAAAGAAAACTTTCTATTTAAAGCATTGCTGAAATTGTGGTAGGTGGTTTCTAGGTAGTGGAACACTTCTCAATGAAAGAAATTAATAAAAAAATGTTGTCTCTATAGTTTTATACATCAAAACACAAACTATGGAAGCCTCGTGATAAGGAAGCTAACTTGTAATCTGTGACAAGTATTGAATAATACTTTAAGCGGTAATAATGAAATCTAGTACTTTAGACCCTGAGAAAAGTAGAAGGGTGATTAAAGTGCAAGTGCTATGCAACCTCAGGTTGTCTCCCAAGTGTGTGCGTTTGGTTTTTAGTGCTCTTGAATCATTCTGGGACTAGTATATCTTGATTTGCAGGTGTTCTTTCTGAATTAATCTGCAGGTTAGACAGCAGTATTCCTTTATTTATAGTGTTCCTCTCTGTAAGAACAGTGACTGCCTAGTTACTTGTATCTTCCAAAGTGTGCTAGCATTTTTTTTTTTGTTGACTTTGAAGAAGGCTGTAGTCTGTGTTAGCTGGTTTGAGGGTTTTTTGGTAGAAATTGGGAGGGGCATGTTTTATATAATAGCACTTATTGTGAAAGTGATATAAAATATAACACTTTTTTGTGCTTTATTTAAGAAGATGACTGAACAAGTACAAAAGATTCTAAAATTTAAATTCTCTAGCGATGGAGTTTGTGGATTGAATAGAGGAAATGGGGTGGGAAAAGCAACCTACAATCTCTGTGTAGCTGTGCTAGCATGGCTTGAACTGTAACTAGAAGACAGTTGTCATCACTCCTAAGAAGTTGCACCATCTGCTTAATGTCTGGTTAGGTTTTTTTGACTGAGGAATCTCTTTAACATTTTAAAGCTGAATTTATAATTCCTAGTCAGGCTGAATAAGTACATCAAAATGGAAACCTGGAAAACAGTCTTTCCTTCGGATGTTATACAGCGGTTAATTTTGTATGCGTATTTTAAAAATACAGAAGGAACTTACTTGGTGAAAGGTTTGGTAGAGGAATTTATTATAATCATAGGCAGTTGGGAGAGTAAAACATTAAGTTTTGCACTTTGGGGATCTTTTGTGGTATTGATAGAACATTTGAAGAGGGAGTTCCTTTTGTTTTGCCCTAGTTTGGGTATGTAGTACCACAGAACAATTTATTCCTCAAGTGTTAAAGGTTGTTTATCTATTTCTGGTACATAGTTTTGATTTTTCTTAGCTGTCAAAATTACGAGAATAGACTGGAGGGAGAGTAAAATCTGGCTATAATTCATCTCAGATCCTTCATATTGTGCCTGCTTTGTATCAGAGACATATTGATCTAGTTTTCCTTATGCTTAGTATACTATGTATGATGCTGGGGGAAAAAAATTCATTTTATTTCTTTTTTTTTTATTGCTGGGGTTCTGGTTTGTCAGTTCAGCGAGTGTAGCCATTGGGCTTCCATTACTGTATTTCCCCCCCGACCCTGAAACAGGCCACTTAGAGCAAATCACTGATCCAGTATAAATGTACTCTGCCAGTTAAACGTGTTCAAAACATAGTGGTTTTTTTAATGGAATAATTGTTCAAGATGGCTCAGTGATTTCAGTTTTTCTCCAAATTAAAAGATTGAATGGTTTGTTTGTTTTATCATAGGAGGAACCCTTCACTACCACATGCAGTGGGCTCCAAAGTTCATCAGAGCATAGCATTTATAGTTCAGTTGCAAATTTTTTGCTTAAGGGACTGTTCCCTTAAAGCATTTAAGCTTTGTTTTCTGTCTATGTTTCTTCTTATGTAAAGTGAAAGTATAGGATATAAATTACATTAATTAGAAAAATATCCCTATATATAAAGGGAAAACATGTCTTTCTGAAAACTAAATTGATGAAGCGTTTAGTCTCAATCTTTTAACATGCTAGGTATAGCAAGAATGTTGTTCTTTGTAGTGTGTCACTATGAATTAACTGTAGAGCTTGTAAGTATTGTTTTCTATAAGCTAGCATAAGGATTAGTTTTCTGACTTCAGATTTATAGATTTAAATAATTTATATAAGCATATTTATAATTCTTAAATTTTTCTGTTGAAACTGCTCTAGGACTTGATGCCATGCTTGGGGTATCAGGCTAAATTCTGCAGTGCTTTTTATAGAACTCTTGCTGTGTCTGACTGCAGAATAAAATTCAACGTCTTCAACAGTTTCAAACAAGAAGTAATATATCAAATTATTCAAGGTGTAGGTTCTTGCCTATAAGTAGTGACTTCAGTTGAATATCTTCATGAATAGTACTTATCAACTGAAGAAAACTAATATGATGTGCTAAAGGAAAAAGTAATTTTTGTAATGGTTGTTTTTTATTGCTTTGAAAGTTTGAGAACTGACTTTTTATCTGGAAAATAGTGGTTGCTACTGAGGATAAAGACTTTGTATTTTATTTGTAATGTTATAGTTCAAAGATGGTGTACTTCTGCAGTGTTTCTGAGGTCTATAGTCTTCAGTTTAGGAGTGATGAGGTCAAAGGGTGGTATTTTTATCACTGCTGTTTGTTAGTATATATAGGGTTAATGTAAAGGAAAACTGCGATTTTATTTACTTTGGTTTTTTCCTCACTGACTTTCACATTGACAATGCAAGTGAAATATAGTAAAGTGTTTGAAACTTTTGCTGTGTATTGGATACTAATATATGTGGTATTCCCTACCTTTATTGTGCCATTTGATGACAAATAGGAACACTAATCGTCACAGTTTGCTGGTAATGTTTCTGAAGTGGTTTCTCTTCATTATTTATATTTGTACCATATCAGCTCTCTAATTTGAGGCCATTATCATACTCATTCTTCCTTGACTAGCTATGATGTGCAGTAACGATTTCCTGTTTTTATTGCTTGAAATCTGAAATCATTCAAGCACTTACTTCGATCAGTATACTTGTGCACTAGTCTGTCCTCCATCAAATGTATTTTATTGATCAGTATAGTAAGAACGCAACGGATTGTAAAGACAGCCATTTAAGAGCTGCATGTGTCTGATCTACCTTTTTTTTTAACAGTTTATTTACTGCTTTGAAGCTATATTAGTGGTGAGAGATTTAATTTGTGCTTTAACATACTATGTGTTTGTGTACGCTGGAGACCATGATCACTAATAATTCCACTGCAACAAGCTTCAGCTTATACTCAGAGGGAAAGCAGTTATAAAACCAACCAACCAGACCCCTACAAACCCCTTTCCAGACTTAAAGTACTAAATTTAACCCTTTTTCTGTGTATCCTTTAATTTGAAATTTTTTACTGAGAGCCCTTTTTTTTAAAATTGCCTTATGTAAATGTTGATTGCAAACTTTTGGTTTTGTATGTTTAGGTGAACCTGAAGAGACCATGCCCATTTTGGGCTGATGATGGCCATTGTTCTATCAAAGATTGTCATGTAGAGCCTTGTCCTGAGGTATGGATCAAATAATATGAACTAGAAAATGGTTGTTTGGTTAGAAAGTGTGCTAATTTGCAGTGACTAATACTATGCCAATAATATTTATTAATGAGAAGTTAAATTTGAATCAGAGTGACAATAAAATTGTTTTCCCTTTCAAAAGAAGAAATACAACCAAAATATTTTAACATCTTAGCCAATTTATCAATAAAACAACTTTAAGAGTAAGTCTCTTCTAAGCTCTAGCACTGTTTCAGATATAACATGTTGAAAAGGTAAAGGAGCAAGCTAATTATTTAAAAACAAATTTGTTTTGACCTCTGCAGGAATGATATTTAATTTGTATTAAAAAAATAATTAAAAATTAAGTTGATATTTAATTTTAATCTAGCATAATAATTTCTATGAAAAATGTAAAATATGTGATTTATTTTTTGTTTTTAGAGCAAAATACCTGTTGGAATTAAAGCTGGGAGCTCTAATAAAGTAAGTATTTATTTACTTTCTAAGTTCTTTCTAATTTTATTTTTAATTGAACATTACAATAGCTGTGTGGCTCTTTATTATAAACCTCCAGTCTTGGCATAGTGATGAAATTGTTAACTGATCAGTTTCTATATGTGGCTTCTATGTTTTTACTTTTATGCATAATAGAGTATTTCTTATATGGCAGGTACAGTCGTGTCATTCTGAGTCTGTCACAGCTTGAGGGCTGCTGCAGACTGAGTCTAGTGAATGAGCAAGGACAGCAGTACAGGGCTGCAGAATGCCTGATGAAAAATTCTTTGTTCATTTCTGAGTACAGTGAACAAACTTTGCTTCTGTATTAATCTTTGAGGCAAGGAACAGGATGCAGTACCTCAAGATGACAACATCTAACTTAATATTTTGCTTCCTGCCCACCACTTTTGTTATCTGCTAGAAAGTGCTCTTAGGAGATCCTGCCTTGGCAGGAGCAGATACTTTGTCTGTAGTCAGTGGTTGCAGAGCACTGATCCAATAGCTGTTGCTGTTCAACAGTGAAGAATAATGAAGTCCGGAAACATGTTTTGAGACTTGAATGTTGGTTCTGTTTGAAACCTTAAATTTAGGATGATATTCTTGGCAGTTACTTTCTCACTTCAGGGTAGGGTTTGGTTTGCAGTTCTAGACATGCAGAATGTTTACTTCAGCATCTCAGTATGTTATTTCATCAGCAGTGACTGTTTCATTCTAGGTCAGATCCATTCCTTGTTAGATTTTTCCATTTAACATCTATATGATGCTAAAGAATGAGCTCCACACCTGGCAAGTCCAAGAAAATTGAGTGAGAAGTTCCTTATTGAGTAATTATTTGTTATGGGCAAGGCCCCTAACAAGGTTTAAATGATTTGTGTTTTTTAATCTCCTTCACTTTTTTTGGCCTTCATTAGGTTCTGCAGTTTTTCCTTGTATTGGTGCAGGCAAATGTATCTTTAAAGCAAGTCACATTGCTTACTCGTCTGAACGGTTCTAATTAAATCTTTTTTTTTTGACAATTTTTGTGATATGTGTTGTGGTGGTACTTTGCCTCTGTCTTTACCAGCACAGCTGGATCCCAGATCGCAGGATCAAGTAGTTACAACAAAACATGGATCAACCCACCAATAGTAGAGGAAGGGGTGGTCTGCAGCCTCTTGCAAGGGCTCAACCCACGTGAGTCTCTGGGCCTGAATGGAATCCACCCCAGGGTGTTAAGAGAAGTGGCTGGCATTATTGCAAGGCCGCTGTTTATAATCTTGGAAAAAGTGTGGACATCAGGGCATATCCATGATGACTGGAAGAGGGCAAATGTCACACCCATCTACGAGGGCCCAAAAGAGGAGCCAGGAAACTATGGGCCCATTCATCTTACGTCAGTCCCTGGGAAACTAATGGAACGAGTCCTCCTAGAAACTATTACAAACTAAATAAAGCAGATGACTAGAAAGAAACAACAGGGATTTGCCAAAGGCAAGTCCTGCCATACTAACCTGATTGCCTTCTATAACAAAATAACATCTTCTGTCAATGTGGGGAGAGCGGTGGATATAATTTCCCTGGACTTCAGCAAAGTGTTTGATGCTGTTTCCCAAAGCCTTCTCCTGAACAAATTGGCAAGATAAAGATTGGATGGATGGTCTGCAACATGGGTAGGAAACTGGCTAACAGGTAGCACTCAGAAGGTGCTAATCTATGGTTTTTGCTCAGACTGGAAGCCTGTCACATATGGGGTCCCTGAAGGATTAATACAGAGCCCCGTGCTGTTCAACATGTTCATAAATGATCTTGATGATGGGATTGAAAGCACCCTCACCAAGTTTGCTGATGACACCAAATTGGCTGATGAGGTGGACATGTCAGATGGGAGAGCCATCTTAGAGAAAAACTTGAACAGGCTAGAAGAGCTGGCTAGCCAGAACAGTATGAAGTTTAACAAAGATGAATGCTATGTCCTGTACCTGGGACAACATAACTAGAGAGCCCAGTACAGGCTAGGATCTGTGTGGCTGGGGAACAGCGTGGCTGAAAGGGACTTGGGGGTCCTGGTGGATATCAGACTGAATGAGTCAGCAGTGTACTACTGCAGCAACAAAGTCACATTTGGTCCTGGGCTGCATCTCTAGGGGCATTACTAGCAGAGATAGGCATGGGATAATCCCATACTTGTCAAGCTGCACTTGGAGTACTGCGTCTGGTTCTCGTCCCCACAATGCAAAAAAGATGTGGACAGACTAGAGGGAGTCCAAAGTGGGGCCATGAAGATGATCAAAGGGCTAGACAACCTGCCCTGTGAGGGAAGACTGAGGGAGTTAGGTCTTTTCTTTCTGGATACCCCATCACAGTGTTCCACTACTTAAAGGGCAGCTGCAAAGAGAGCAGAGACTCTCTCTTCAAGAAATCACATGGAGAAGACATGGGGCAATGGGTAAAAGTTGTACCAAAAGAGGCTTCATCTTGATATAAGAAATATTTTACAATACAATCAATCAGATCTGGAATAATCTCCACAAGGATGTGGTAGAGTCCCCATCACTGGGGGTTTTCAAGATGTGACTGGACAGGGTGCTAGTTAATCTCACCGAGGCTCCCTTTCCCACAAAAGATTGGACCAGATGATCTTTCCAGGTCTCTTACAACCTGGGCTGTTCTGTGATTCTGGGATGCGCATGCACTGCGGATAAGAAACCATGCAACTTTCCTAAATTCATGCAGGAAATAACAGGAGTTTTGCATCTTGACCACAAGTCTGTCCTCAGAAATGAACTAGTCTCTTCCTTTTAAAATGTATCAAATTATTACTGTTGTTTGCAATTTTTAAAGGGTTGACAAAAGCCTTTAGCTTATGTTTTTATTTTGAGCTGATCTTAGATATTAATCCTTCATGTCAGTATGTATGTGGCCTGGAATGAAGGGAAGCAACCAGTTTAGCTTTATAAAAGCTATCAGTTGCTTAATGTTAAATCATTTTCTGTATTTCTTAAGGACTGTGATAAGGTAGAAGTCTGTGTAAACCTAAGGCTCAGTCTGCAAAAGAAAAGACACACATACACACAAAAAACCCAACCAAAACAGAGGAAATTGGGTTTGTTTATCTTTTAAGTGAGCACTGATGCTATCTATTATGTTCCAAAACCATTAGAAGGATTTTTTGAGGTTTAAGCTTACTGACTTAACAAATTCCCTGCTGACATAACCGTATCATTGAAGAATAGTGCAATTTAATCTTTAATTCTTCAACTGTTTTCCTTAGAAGTATTCTAATAGTAGGAGTCTACTTTAGTGGATTACTTTTTTTAAAAATACTGTAGAATCAGAATTCAGCTCAAATACTTCAATTCAGGCTTTAAAATAATAAAAATTTGAGGTCAGCTTGAAAAGCCTGACTTCCAGATCTGTGTGTGTCTGAAGTGTGCTAATGAATAGGATTAAATGAAATGTGAGGGGAAAATGGCAAAAACTGATATGTTTTCTTACTGAAGTGACCAAGAAACTTGGGCTGTAATTATGCTTGAGAAATACAAGGTATCTTTATAGCTGTGACACTGCTTGTCTTCAAGTGTTCTTTTACAATAATGCATCTAGCTATCTGAAACACTTTGGAACTCCATTTAATTAAAAAAAAAAAGGGCAAAACAAAACAATTTTTGATATTTTTAGCTGAACTTTTTGTGGTAGTTAAATCCACAGAGTGAAATTAACCTGATGAAATTAAGTGAAGAACAATGGAAATAAGTGGTCCTCAGGATTTTCCCTGATACTAGCCAATTTCTGCTAAACCTAGGACTACCTTTCATGGCACCTGTTCTCAGAGGATTTCATGTAATCAATTTGCATATTAAATATGAACTTTATTACAGTATTCAAAAGCGGCAAATAATTCCAAAGAATTGGAAGACTGTGAGCAAGCTAACAAACTGGGAGCAATTAACAGTACCTTAAGGTATGTTGTGATTTACAACAGTACAAAAATAGTAACAAAGGAGCGTTCCATTTTGTCTGTCTTGTTTTTGCAATGTGCTGGTTTTTGTTCTCCATTCTTTCCATAGCCCATTAGAAAGTAAATGTGAAATGATACAAGAACATGTGAAGGTAAAGGTGTTAAATGATATTATTTTTGGTCTAAAAAAGTACACTTTGATATGATTTGAAAGAGGTACTTTACAGCATCAAGAGTTGGAGGAAACTTGCAAACAAACCTGCCTTTTTCTGCTTTTTACCAGTATCAGTCTTTGTTTTCGATTACTGTGCTGGATTAAGGGATTCTGTCCTGCTCTGTCCCTCTGTTACACTGATTTGCCTGTTTGTGATCATTCAGTGAACCAGATCAGGGAGCTTATGAGTTACTTCTATTGCTGGCAAAGTTATTTTTAGCTTGGATCAATTCCCTGATCTTGCTTATTGCATGGCACAGTCAAGGTTGCTTGGGAGGAATTCTGCAGGATGTTGTTGACCCCAAGTAGGAAAGTATGTGGGACACCACTTAAAAAAAGCTTGCATTCTACCAGATTCCTCTCCTCTAAAAAGCAGAAATAGAAAAATCAATTCTTTACTTTTGATGGAGAGGTCTTAGCCATAGGTTTCAGCAGTTCTAGCTGATGGAGATGTTGAAACTCTTTCCTGTTGTCTGACAGAATGAGACTGTCTGGTGTGTGGTGTTTTAAACCCAACTGGGTAGAGCCCTCATCTAAGGCTTTTTAGGGAAAATAAGAAGCTATGAACTCTCTTTTATTCCTATAGGGAAAAAAAAATATATATATATATATTGAGTACATATATGGAGAGCTAAAGAGAATGCCTTTTGTGAGACTAGCATAGATGATTAAATTTGGGAGAGGGCAGGTAACGGATCCTGCAAGTGGCAGGAAAAGTTTGTGCTTTGTAGGCAGCGCTCTGCTCTACCTAGCAGTGCATCAGCCCCATGGTTTTGGGTTATTTTCCATTATCAGCTGTAGTTCTTATTATCAAGTTTTGCCTGCTAGTAGTTAATGGAGAAGTTCCTTGTCTAAGGCCAAATAAAAAATCTCCTATAGTGATTTGGCAGAAGATTAGAAACATCTAGTTATAAAATTGCCTCTGTTTGTAGAATTGCGCTAGTACTAATTTGATCAAACACAATAGGCTTCCTTTGTTATTTCAAGGTGCTTTGCTGTACCCTGGAGCAGAGTTCCCAGTCTTAACTGTGCTTATGTTTTGCTGTCAGTACTGTGGCAGCAGTAGTTCTGTGCTGCACATATGCATGGAAGAAAGCGTTCAGCTTTTGACACTGTTTCATAGTGTGGGAGCTTCAAAGTACTTGTCTCTCTGGTACATACACCTTTGAAAATGCTAGGGGGAGTGGAATACCATCATTATTTAAAAGCCTTAAGACAAGTCATGCTCATGGAGTCATTTAGCTTGGAAGGGGCATTTAGACGTCCAATTTCCCAGTAAAAAGCAAGGCTAACTATTGTAGATCTTGTTGAAATACAATAATTCCTTCCACCTCTGCAAGTGACAGTTCCTAAAATAGTACTTTGAAGAGTGTTTAAAGATGTATGCTTTGAAAGTATTTTACCAAGCTTCTTCTGAAGAAAGAGAAGTCACTGCCAGTGCACAGTTTGTTGAAATAATGATGGTGAAATCTTTCTTGCTGTCTGATGCTAAAATGACTCTTTAAAGCATTGCAGTTACTTTTTAAAGTATTGCCTGCTTGGATCTCTGTGCTGCTAGCAAGTGGTAACTCCATATATTCTTGAGTGTCAGATACAGTAATTCAGAATTCAGTTCCAAGCTAACTACTATATGTGGATTGTGTTTCTTTTGGTAGCTCTTATTGATGTTGTTTATTTAAAAGTTTAAAATCAAATGTATTTTCTTCCCCTCAGTAACCAAAGTAAGGAGGCTTTCATTGACTGGGCAAGATACGATGATTCACAGGATCATTTTTGTGAACTTGATGGTAAAATGTTTAAGCTTTTTCAGAGTGTTTGTTTTATTTGCTGTCTCTTAAAAGCACAGAAGATTATATTCTCCCTGCAAATAACTATTTTTTAAAAGTTTTAATTTTGTGCTAAACAGATGGGATGGTTCATGTAATCTTACATGCAAAGACTGCATATTTTTCAAGGAGCATTCGATCGTCTACACAGTGCACATTCACTGTGACCCCCTGTTAGTATATGGGACAGGAGAGTTATGGAAATAAAGGAAGAGGTAAATGGGAGAAGTTTAGTATATTTTTTCTTTAAAGAGCTGCTGCTCACAAAAGAGTTGCACCTAGCACAAATATTAGACAAATTACCTGCACCTGATTCACTTTCTTACTACTATATTATTTTTGTTGCTATTCTACTGTCTATGCTTGGACTGAGTTTATCCCTCTCCCAGCCTTGCTATGTTTCAAAATTATCTGTGCGCTAAATTCACCTTTATTTGTAACAACTTTCTTATTGCTAAATTAGGATACTAGATTGTGTCTTCCCTCTGCTTCACAGATGTGAGTCCTTTTACTTGCTTGTAACATTCAAAGCTCAAAGGAATGTTTTTCAGATAACCATGAGAATTGCCAGGTTTAGGAATCACTACTAAAAGCCTTCTTAATAAATACCTTAGAAAGTGTTCTATGCTAGGAAGATTTAAAGCATAATGCAAGATGTTTTAATCTATCTTTAGGCTAATGTTTGGTGTCACCTGAGAAGTAGCAGCTGTAGTGGATGGTGGATATATCAACTGCAGTTCTCTTTCAGCACTTCTGCTGTGTCTTCTGTGTGAAAATTTTTTGTATAAGCTGTGTCTGTGATAAATACTCAAAGAGCATAACTGTAGATGTGGACTGTTATATGCAGGAAGCTGCTGTTGTCTCTACTATCTTCAAGCTGCCTACTTAAAAGGACTCAATTAGCAAAGGTATAGTTTAGGAGCATCTCTTCTAGAATTAATACCAATTTAAGTAGTTCCTGATTCTACCTTCATCTCTCCTTACATCATGCCCTAGTGAAGGAGGATGTACTGCTCCCAGCCATGTTCTTCCAGTGCTTTTTTTTGTTGTTGTTGTTGTTCTGATGTGCATCTTTCTGCATGGTAAGCTGATTCAGCTTCCTTGAACAGCAGGAAAGTAAGTTGACATCTCTCTCCCGTCTCCTAGATTGTTGTGATGGGACTGGCCTGTCAGGTGAGTTTGTGAGGGGAGCAGGGAGAGGCGAGAGAGAATAACTCTGCTTAGGGGAGGTAGAAACTTGTTCTCTTCCTTTCCATCCTTCCTGGTGGTGAGAGAGCTCTTAATTCACTCAACTGTAGCACAAAGCCATATCATCAGCTTTTACTTTTCGCTAGGTGTTTATTGGGCTTAATGATAAACTAGATAAGGGAATTGATCTAGCTGAAAAAAACTACATAACCCAGGTCAGCTTTCTGTACTTCTGTTGCACTGCCCCATAGCCTCAGTTGTATATGGGTAACGAGAAGAAAAAGTGGAGACCTGAAGTGACCAGGAAGTGTAGGAACTGCTCAGGTTAGCCATGCCATCAAAGAAATAAAGCTGTAATTTGACTTTGTCCCATCTGGTACTCACTGTGTTGCGTGTCTTGTGTCTGTCTCTTTGTTTTTGCTACTACTGCTGAAGCGATGCTTAACTGCTCATGCAGAATCATCTCTTCTTTTTAGAGCAGTTTTCACGCTCTGTTTCTGTGGCTTTTTTCGGCATCTGAGGAAACAGTCAGTGTCACTGCTTGGCCTTTTCCTATGAATAAGCCTCTGGACTACTGTATTGTATGTGGGTTTTCTTAAGCAAGAGTTGCTTTTAACCTAGAAGTTCTCAAAGAAGAGGGAATTCTTCCTGCTTTTTACTGGTTGTAGCTCAAAACTTAAGTTTCTATTCATACAGAGTTTTCAAGCAGAGAGAGTACTGGTTCACAATTTTCTTTGTGTATATTGCCTGAATCGGTAGTGAACTTCAGAGATTAGGGTATAACTTGTTGAAATGCTGCTTAAGTAACATGTTTCTTGCCATAACGAACAGAGCTTTCTGAAATATGCTGACAGTTTGTTCAATTAAGCAATGTGATCCAGGCTTTCTACCAGTATACAGGGATATCTGGGGAAAAAAGGGATTTAGCTAATAAATACAGAATATGTATCAACTACAAGGTACACTTCTTTGACTTTGTCTTTATTAGAAGCTCCCATAGCAGTATACCCATTTCAAACAAGCAACACCCCCAACCAATTTTGAATTTGAAACCATTTAAAATAAAACACTGTTTATACCTTAGCATAGGGTGAAAGAACACATTGCATGACAAGTATTTATATAGAGGTGAAGCCACGTAGAGTGTGTTCAGAGACTGTAGAAATTATGGCTGTACAAGAGAGTGAGCTTTCTATTTAGTGTGTATATAGCTATATTTTTATGCACAAGACATCTATAATCCACCAGGAAGACAGAATAGTATTATATAAGACACATTTAATTCTATGTGACTTTTTTTTAAATTGAATCTTTTTAAAATGACCAATTAGAATATGTAACAAAAGGTCTCCTATTTAGATGAGAGATCTCCAGATGCACAGTACGTGGATTTGCTGCTGAATCCGGAACGTTACACTGGATACAAGGGTCCTTCTGCTTGGAGAGTGTGGAACAGCATCTACGAAGAAAACTGTTTCAAGTAATTGGGAGGGCGAGGAAGCCTATTTCTTATACCTGTGCTTCAGTTTAGCTTAAAACTGATTTTTGTGTTTTCTAACTTATTTTCTAGGCCTCGATCTGTCTATCGTCCTTTAAATCCGCTGGCGCCTAGTAGGGGTGGGTCTTGCCTGTTTTATTTTCTAATGCCATTCTTTTAACATAGTGACTGTTGCAGTACAAGTGATACAAATAGTGATCTGCAGTCTGTAGGTTTGTTTCTGCTTTGTTAGTTTCCTGTGTAGAAGAAGCTGTCCATTTCCAATAATTAGTTTGTGATACTTGATTACATACATGCTTAATCTTATGCATCTGAATAGGCTTATTAATGTCAGAGGAGCTAACATAGAAAGTAAAGTATATCTCAGACTGTTTAGTGTTACAGTAATTTTCTGGTGTGGATGGGAAGAAATTAAAGTTCAACAAAATTCCAGCACTCTTGTATTCTTCCCTTGTCTTTTTTTTTTTCCCTAGAGTGTTTAATTTAATCACTTTAGCTCACAGTCATCCTAGTGTAATGTAGCTGTACATTTTCCATCCATAATATTTAGTGTATTACAGATGTACAAATAATGGCATTATTTGAAGAAAGAGCGGATAGTTAGGAAGTCTGTTATCTGCAAGAATGTTTAGAAAGAAAGTATGTCAACGACTTGGGTTTTGAGTTTTCAAATTTAAACAAAACTGTAACCTGATGTTCCAAAGGAATTGGCTTTTCCCTGTCAGTGTGTCTCATTTCCCTTAAAAAGTAACAATTCACCAATAGATTAAGTTACAAAACACACCACATATTAGAAAATCAAGATAGCTTTTCATAATTATAAATATTGAGATAATGCTACTTCTATACACAAATAAAAAGAACTGTAAGAGAAGTTTAACTCAGGGAACAGAATTTCAGAAGGGAGCACTGGTCAGATTGTTAAATGATGTGAACTGAAGAAGATGACTTCCTAACCATCTTTCTGAAGTTAAAATGTAGTTTTCAATAACATGTGAATCAACTGCTACTAAGGTTTCAAGTTCTTAGTGACTTTCATTATTATAATGTGTTTAGTCTTAAGTGGTCTTGAGGAGAAGGAAGAGGATGGAAAGTAGCCTTTTTTTGTTGTAGATTACAGTAAGGGTTTTTGCACTTTTTCAGTGTTTGTAGTAAAGCTTGTGTTTCATTACTGCTTTGCTGTGGAAATTGATCTTTTTAATGCTTATGAAATTTTCTTGCTTCCCCCCCCTTCAGGAGGAGATGATGGTAAGTCATCTTATTTTTGCTTGACCTGCAAAAATTAAGTAAGCATTAAAGTTTGGGATATCTGATTTATGCACTTTATTGTTATTGCATCAGAGGGCAGAAAAGTAATGTTTTTATGCAGATGATTGATCAGAATATGTTTTTATTGGGCTAACTCTTCATTTTGAGTAGGGGGAAGGAGTGGATAAGAGCAAAACACAGTTCTGTAGTTGGTTCTTATCCTTGTAACAGAATATGTGTTGTGATAATGTTATTGATGAGATAACTGGAGATGTATGAATTTAAAGATTCTTCGGTCTCCTCCAGAGCTCCATTGATACTGATGTCAGATCCCTTCAGAGAAGAGGGACAGGGATTTTTTTGTGTACCTTCTTGAATGTCCTTGATTTTTGGGAAGGTGGGGAGAGCATGGGACAAAAAAGCATTTGCTCTGTCTATAGTGAGACAGACTTAAGATTTTTTTTTTTCAGTCACCTGAAAGCTCTCAGACAAAAAATCTAAGCTTACAGGAAACCTTCAGACAGTTAGCAGTCAAGGTAAAGGCTATCAGATGTAATTTTCACTGCTAGTGCACATAATCAGGCTTGTGCTTTGAAACACTTCTGAATGCCCTGACTGGTAGCTTAGTCATGCTCATTCTTGTATTTCTCCTATTCTGACCCCAGCAGATTTAAACTAACCTCAAAGTTCAACCACTTCAGTGCCCGTTCTTACTTTAATAGCTAAAATATTTAGCTTTATTTCCAGATGGCAGATAACATTAGTCTGCATAGCAATATAAGGATACTGTAATGTTGAAAACGAATACTCTTCGATTAACTATATACTTTGTATTCACAGGAGAATCTTTCTACACCTGGCTAGAAGGTAAAGCCTCTTGGATGGGTTAATATAATGTTAAATTCACTAGAAGAAATGCTGTAGTTTGTTTGGGGTTTTTTTCGCTCCCCAAATATTTTGAATAGTGTAGTTGTGTAGAGCTTCTGGGTGTCATTTGAGGAATTTTATTTTTTTTTCTTGGTGGTCTTTAGAAATCTCATTCACTTATATAATCTACTCCTTAAACCCTTCACTGTTTCATCTTTCATAATGGGGGAGTTCACATCAGTAATAGTTACTTGGAATTTTCTGCTCATTTTAGGCACGTAAGCAGGCATGTGATTATTAGTAACATTGCTAAGGTTTTTATGTGAAAACACCTTTCAAAACCATTAAAGTTTCTTATGGTGCTGTTCCCAGTATGTAAATGAACGTAAGTATGTGTCTTCAGAAGGCAAAGCAACTTGCTTTTTATTCATATTTAAATGGTATTATTATTACAATGGTAGCAATCAAAATTGCATTTTCTGGCCACCCAGTGCCATTACATTTCTGCTTAGGCTTGTAAAAGTTTGTATCCATCAAAGTCATATTTTTCAAGGTTTTGCTCTATGCATTTGTATCTTCAGTGAATTTACATTAATGCTGGGAAGAAATATTTTTGCTGTATTCCAATGCCATAAGGTTTTCTATGGGCTTTTTATATGCCTTTCTGTTAGGTCACTAATTCAGTGGTACCTTTAATTCTAATTAGGGTGGGTCACAGTATAGTTTTGGTTTCTAGACTGTTAAAATTCAAGACTATTATAAATTAATTGCTCAAACAACATAAGCATCTTATTTGTGTGTGGCAATTTCTGTACTAATTGACCAGATGCTTATTTGACTGTATTTATTAGAACACTAAATTACCAAGTAAAAAATGTGAAACTTCATTCTTAGTAATTCTATATAAAAAATAAGAGGTAAACTTTTCCTGTGATGGATAGAAGGGCTTATTAAGAATGCTGAAGTACTGTAATTATAACTCTTGAAAGTTAAACAATGCAGAATTGCATTACTGAAATATCAAAGTATATTCATTTAAAGACTTTATTTCCAATATTTAGTTTGGTGTTTTTGTCTTCTGTTCTGCACAGGTCTTTGCCTTGAGAAAAGAGTGTTTTATAAACTCATTTCTGGACTTCATGCTAGCATCAACTTGCATCTGTGCGCAAATTATCTTCTTGAAGGTAATTTGAGTCTAGGTAAAATTGCTGAATGGAACTTACAATATCTGTAACATGTATTTGTTTTGGTTTTTTCTAAAAATTTTTGAAGTATACTTAGTTGCATTATTTTCCTAATATGCATGTTTTATTCTCTCTGCCATTTTTTTGTCCCTGTGTAGAAACGTGGGGGAAGCCTCGCTGGGGACCGAATGTGAAAGAGTTCACTCAGCGCTTTGATCCTATTGAAACCAAAGGAGAAGGACCAAGGAGGCTCAAAAATCTGTATTTCTTATACTTGATAGAGCTGCGTGCTTTGTCAAAGGTTGCACCATACTTCGAGCGTTCAGTTGTTGACCTTTACACTGGAAATGGCCACGAGGATGCTGAATCTAAAGCTCTTTTACTAGATATCTTCAGGGATACAAAGTAAGACTTAAGACTTCTTCTTTTATCAATAGTTTGGAATTCTCTGTTATGTTCACAAGTGAGAGTAGATGACTTCTTGATAGGGTAGGACAAGGAGGAGAGTGGAATGAAGAAATTAAAGTAATGGGATAGAACAAGAGGAATTCGTCCATTTGATGGAAGAGATTAATATTTCTGAGATTTGAATATACCAATCTTAAAAAAAACAACCAAAAACAAACAAACCCCAATCAAACAAGCAAAATAAAACAAAAACCCACACAACACCCTGGGCTATTCCTTGTTTGTTGCTTTTTCTGATTCTTCAGCATAATATGCATGTGATTTATTATGAAAAGGGGAATAGTACATGTAGTCTTTTCATGATCCAGTGAGTAATCTAGCTTTTATCAAAGACTTAAGCTCTGGGGTTTTAGCCATGCTTTCTTCCTTCTCTTTGCTCTGGAAGGTTCTTTAATTCAGTTCCTTTGCTCACCTTCTTGCTAATTTTTGAGATTGGTAATGTGCTGTGTGAGCATTCAGTAATTTTTTAAGAGCTAATCTGCAAAGACTAGGAACTCTGAAAAGTATTTTACACTAATGACATCAGCTGCTCGCCAAGCTTGATGATACACTGTAGTTTATGCCAGTGTTTGGTTTTTTTGTGTTTTGTCTTTATTAGGTCCTTCCATATGCACTTTGACGAAAAGTCCATGTTCGCTGGAGATAAAAAAGGAGCCAAGTCATTAAAGGTAAAGCTGGTTTTCTGAATGACGTCCAAAATACCCATTTTAGAATTAAGTAGTATTATTTTAGAAAGCTTCTCTACCTACCAGAAGCATACTGTTAAGGGTAGGAAAGGCAGGGGTAAAAACTTACGGAATTGTATCCAGGGCCTCTTACTCCACTTCGTAATAAATGAATGCAAGGTGGTGTCCTAAACATGGGAACCTCATGTGAATGCTGTTACTGCATTTAGTAACTTCCAGTGATAACATGCTGATGTTCAGATTGGTATGCACTACAATTCCACAGTTGAAGCGTGGCTCAGTAATAAAGGTCTGTTTTAATACTTATTAAAAGTGTTAATAATTTCAGCAGTAGTATGGAATTTCTTCAGCATTAGAAAAAGCGGTATTAGAAGGGTACTAGTAGTTTAGTAGCTCAGTGTGTTTCTGATCTTAAATATTTAACTGAGATAATTTTAATTAGTTCTGTGCTGTGCTTGCTTCCACTTTGAATGAAGCTACAAAGCAACAATCTACCCATAGCTTTGGACAGGAAATGACCTTTGTGAATTGTAACTTGCCTGTTTGTCAAAAAGATAGTTGATTCGAAAGGGATTTGAATAATGGTAGAAAAATTGGGCAGGGACACAGATGCAGTACTTATAGCTCAGAAAATTTTGAGAAAGTTCCTAGAAACTCAGTGTACAGAATTCATGCCTTACTCTGCATCTCCTGTATTCTTGGGGTTTCTTTTCAAGGAATGAATTATTAACAGTGTCTTGGAAACAAAATTCTGGGTTTATGTGGACCTTTATGGCCTGACCACATATGGTAATGATTTGTTCAGTTTTGGTAACAGAGAATTGGTATTTTAGTGGTACTTTGTTAGTTAACCTTTTGATTTGTAAAGCTAATAGACCTTTTAAGTTAATGTTATTTTTTTTTACTTTGTTTTTAACTGATAGGAAGAATTCAGATTGCATTTCAAGAACATATCCCGCATAATGGATTGTGTTGGATGTGACAAATGCAGGCTGTGGGGCAAACTGCAGGTACAGTTTACACTGTGTGTGTGTGTGTGTGTGTGTCAAGGGGGAGAGGTTAGAAGACAAGCATCTGCTTCAGTTTGGCAGGTTGCCTCTTCAGCATTCAGACTTTCTGTACATGGTTGGTCTGTGCTATCCTTATCTATATATTAAAAATGAACATACTTTTACTTCACTGTTCAACCAATTTGTTTTCTAACATTTATTTTGTTTAGTCTACAGCTGTTTAATTTACTAAAAGGTATATTTTGTAGCCTCTGGAAAAACTGTATTTAGAGCAGATGCTTCATGGCAAAGTCTTATTGGCAGTCAGTGTCTTATCGGTATTAATTGATCAGATGAGCCTTATAGAAAGATCTGTGGGAAACCTTCTAGGAAACACAGCACTTGCTTAATTGTTAGAAAATTCAGTGTGAGATTTAACTCCACAAATAGAGGCATAAAAAAAAAGGAAGTAATTCAGATTTTCACAATTTATGCAGAAGGCAGCAAATGAATGCAAAGGTGTACAGTAAAGCTGGAAGTTGAAAAGCAGAATTTCAGTTTGTGGACATGTGTTATTTTTTTAATTGAGAACAAGTTCTTAAAACTCAAGACTAATGTCAAGTCCAGATTGGGAGTAGTTGTTACTTTGGGGTGCCTACTGTTACTATACTGTTGTATTACATTAAGCTTATGAGAGTTCAGTTTTCAAAGACATTTATAACATCAAAAATCTGGTGGTCTCTGCTGAATTTGCAGAGTTCTGCCTGCCATGTCCTAGTTAATGCTTCTCATCTATTACTGTTTTTTCCTTCTTACACAAAATGAAATAGGGCCAGATTTCCTGACCTAGAAAATTCTCTCGCAGCCAGCCTCAACTACTTTTTGTCAAAATCCAGTGTGGTTGTTTCTACAGCCCGATGAAAAAGGGAAATAAGAAAAGCTTCTTCTGTTCTATTTCTGTATAGAAAATGGGGGTTGAAACGGAATTTGTGATGTCTGCTACTGGGGCTGGAGTTGGAAAAAGCAGAAGTGTTGTCATACCTCATAATAAACCTAGTTTTACATGGAAGGGGGCGGGAGAAAGGAAGGGGAGATCTGACCCAACAGCTCCTGCAGGAGCGGGGCATCTGTGAGGTGAGGGGCAGGAGCCAGCTGAAAGGGTTGTAACAGGCATTTTCATATGTATCTGCTGTGGCTGAGAAGAGATGGGAAGTGAAGGAGGGATTTTACTGATGTTAAAACATTGGACTTTTCTTCTAGACTCAAGGCTTAGGAACAGCTCTGAAGATCTTGTTTTCTGAGAAAGAAATACAGAGCCTTCCTGAAAATAGCCCATCAAAAGGTTTTCAACTCACACGCCAAGAAATAGTTGCTCTTGTAAATGCTTTTGGAAGGTAAGTTGTCATCATTTTTATAGTAGAAAAACAGTAAAACTGCAGTGTCAACACACAATCCCATCTTTCCACAGACCTTGAATGTGTAGCTGTAGCTTTTAAAGGCTGTATTATTATTAGTGATATTGATAAAATTAATGCCATCAGAGTGTGTGTAGTGCTGATTGCTAGCCTTGGTTGGTAGGGGAGGACTCTGTAGAGTAGGGGAGATGGTTGGACTCGATGATCCCAAGGGTCTCTTCCAACCTAGACGATTCTATGATTCTATGATCCAATTCATCTCTTTATCTCAGATCTCATAAATTCCATCTTGTGAAAGCTGGATTTAAGTCTCAAACAGTCTTAAGCATTAGACTTTGGGTACGTCTCCTCAGTTTTGGGCACTGAATAAAGCTGTTATACTTTTTATTATTATTATTATTATTTCTTTTTTAAATGTGTGTACATCAAAAGTAGTGAAACGGAAGAAAAATACTTGCAGATTTTTTAACACTGTCATTTAGCCCTTAGGCTTTTGTACTTTTCTATTTGATGGGGTTTTTTTGTATGAAAACTTTAATTTTGTTTAGTTTTTTGAAAAGAGCAAAAATTTACCCCATTCAAATGATGAAAGAAAACATTTCAATGACTTTAAAAGATGTGTAGAACTTGCTTTGTTCATCATGCTAGTTCTTCTGATCTTGAACATAACAGTCTGGTCCTGTCTGAAAGAATCTAATTAACGTTTATTCCCTCTGGTTAGAGATTTTTACAGATGTTTAAAGAAGCCAGGAAAATTTAAAATTTATCTAAACTTTAATCCCTGTAGTATAGTATGTAAATATAATGGAGAGTCAGACAGTAGATCTTTTGAGGGTAAGTAGTGTCCTAGTTAATCTTTGGAACTGAATTGTGTTCAAAAAAAAATAACAAAACAAAAACAACCAACAAAACAAACAAAAAGGCCCCCCATGGAAGATGATGATTTGCACTTCTCTTTTGCAGTTGACTTACTAACACGAGGGGTTTTTTGTTTTACAGGCTTTCCACAAGTATAAGAGAGTTGCAGAATTTTAAAGTTTTATTACAACAAACCAGGTAATGAAGGCCTTTGCACAACCCCATTAGTGAAGACCATTTACATGACTGCATTGAGCAAAAGGAACTGATCCTTACAGGACTCACGTGAACTGATAAAAAGTAAAATCAAATACCAACTTGAATATTTATGTTTAAACTAGGAATGGTTATTAATTAGAAAAGATATTTATGAATGAAATATATAGTTTTTAAATGTGTAAATTATGCTGATTGTTTATTTTTAAGTTCTCTGCTCACAGGTCTGTTGTATTGAAACTACATAAATTTTATTTCCTTGTCTTTTTGAGACGGTTGTTTTATACGAAAACATACGTACCTCCACTCTGACTTGACCTGTCCCGAGAGGTGCTTTGCCTCTTGCCTCTCCCCAGTACTGAGCTTCAGTATATTCTGAGGATTGGGTGTGCTGATTCTGGCAGTCTAAAAGAAAAAAAAAAAAAAAAAAAGGAAATAATGTTCTTGTTGAGTTCTGACTTGTTACTGTAATAATGAAACTTACTTAAAAGTAGGAAATTTACTGAGCAGAAAGTTTTGTTCCATACCAAGCTCCTTTGCATCTTGCTGATATCAACATTTTTTTTTCCTTATGTGCTGCTTTTCAGAAGCTCCTTTTTTGTCTTCAAAATAACTACCTTGTCTCTGATGCAGCACCGTTGGAAGTGGCTTTTCTGCAGCCCTTTGGCTACCGGGTTTTGCCTGGGGGGATGCAGAAGGGCGGGGGGGGTGGTTAGTGGAGTGCTGCTAGCTGAAAAGCCTCTGTCAGTCAAATCAGTATTTCATTTTCTAGGTTGTAATCACAAGTTGAATTTCCAGAAATTGTCTTTTTAGTCTAAAATGTTAAAATAGCACATTTCAGTCTTTGAGCTGTGGAAATAGATTTGCTCTTTCTGGGTTAGTTTTCATGCTATGTTAAAAGGTCAGTGCAAAAAAAATAAGAACTTGTTTTTGTAGTCACTTTTAAAAGATGCTTTTAAAAATTCATAATCATACTGACATTTAATACTGCATACTCTAACTATGCAAAATCCCTAACTGTATCTTCTTTAAAAGGATATTCAGCGTAATAAAACGGGTATGTTAATAATGTAACTTTCATAAAATAAGAAATTATTTGTGTATCATTGTCCACAAATGTCAATGATAACTTACCAGTGTCCAAAACAGAATTCCAAGACATCAGTGCTGATGAGTAGCAACCAAATATTGGTTTAAATTTAAAATGAAGTAATAATTTATTATATTTTTTTAACCAGCATGTTTCAAAGTGAAGTTAGGTGTTACGAATGTAGGAAGTGCTGGTACAGTGTAGATACATCTATTCTTTCTTAAAAAATAAGTCTTCACAAAATAAAGTGCTCTTAAACATTTTTCACCCAACCAGATATTTAATGACCTGTTTATATAATTGATTGTAACCGCGTTGGCTTCCATAATGTGGTCCTTTACAGCTGAGATTTTCTGAAAGCTGGAATGCGCTCTATGTCCTTTGTTTCCAGAGTAGCCTCAAGCTTCTGCCTGACTGGAAATGAGATGGACTATCCTGCTGACACTTGCTACTATAAAAAATACAGTTTTTCAAGAAAGTACACTCTCTTGAGTCAAACTGGGATAAGCTAAATGAAAGGAAAAAAAAACCACCACAGGAAAAAATAAACCAAAAAACCCCCACTCTCACAAAACTTTGATAGTTGTATGAATTGGCAATGAACTGGTATCCAGTCCTAAGTTCCTGTTTAAGCCAGTAGATAATTTAACGTGGAGTTAGAGAAAGCTGATGCCAGTCTGGGGATGTGTTTTTACCCAGCAGCCTCTCTTGCCCGAGAGCACCCATGTCTAAGCAAGTCACCACAGGCTTCCTCCTTCTGGTTAGTGGAGAAGAGCAGGTGACTTCTAGGTGGTTACACCTGGGCTGTTTCAAGCTGTGTATGATCCTAGGATGCAGTGAGTTGCACCCTAGAGTTGATTGTTCTCCAGTAAATTGAGGTGGGAATCTATGTAATTGGCTCAGGTGTGAACACCTGTGTTTGGGAAACGGGTTACACCCTGAGCATCTAACTCTTCTGAGTAACTGTATATATTGAAAGAGTGTGGTTTTCTGTTGGCCATTAATTCCTTGCCTTTTGGATTGACCTGCAAGGGCTAGAACCTGTGGGCTCGCTTGTGTGTTGAATGCTGTATAGCTGGGGTTTGTGTATTATTATATATTATAGTGCCTAAAGCTTTAGGCAGGATTTTTTATTTGAAGAAAAAAATTTTAAAAAATTGTCTTGTCTGTGCTGCCCCAGGAAAGATCTGAGTCTCAGAACTGTTTCTTTCCTTTTTCCCCTTGCTTTATGGGGAGAGTGCATTGCTTCCAACCTCCTCCTGGGGATGCAACTTGCTATTTTTTTGTTTTTTTTCCACCTGTGCCTGGCTAAAATCTACGGACCCTGAAGCAGCATCACATACTGGCATCGTGCCCTTGCTGTGGGACAGGTGAGGGGTTCAGGCACCCGGGTCCTGGACACCCACCCCTTGCAGCCCCCGCTGGCACGGTGCAGGCAAGGTCAGTGCCGGTGGGGAAGGACATCAAGAGATGGGATGGGAAGCTTTTCCCCTTTTCCTTTGTGTCACGGAAACGCAGGAATGCAACTGAGCAGCACTTCTGTGCATGGGGAAGTTCTGTCACCTGTGAAGGTACATCTCGCTTGGTGATGGAGCATGGAAGGCATTTGCTTCCCTGGAATTGTAGAAATAGGAGGTAAAATTTTTCCCGTTACAAATCTAGCTGAAACAATTTTCCTGTCACCATCTTTTTTACTGTATTTGATGTACATTCTGTGACTCTGCTGCCTATGAAGTTTTGCCGCGTGAGTTGGATGACTTAGTTCTTTATATGTCAAACTAAATTTTAGAAATGTACAGATCTGTTTTTATACTAAAGAATTAAGGTTAGTTACACCGTCCATGACCTGTGAACGATTTTAAATCCCGGCTCCCTGTTGGAGATCAGCTTGTCAGCATCGCCTGCCCTTCATTCGAATGAAAGCTCCATTCCTTGTACAAACGACACAATGATTGTAACCCCAGAGGTGGTGAGAAGACAAAGACAAAAACATTTCCTTTTTCCCAAGCCATGAGGAGTTACGGGACACGGTGCAAGGCCTGGGTGCAGCCTGCACGGGCAGGGTGTAGGGCGCTGCTGCTGAACAACTTTCTTCAGTGCCCAAGGAGGAAGGTGCAAATACAGATTTGAAACAGTGTAGAGAGACTTGTGTGAGCTGGAATAACACGTGTTTTCCTCCTGCAGCTGCTGATGTGCACTGTATGTCGTCGTATGTGCGTGAAGTACACTGTGCCACACTTTCTTGAGTTGTGTTTTGATGATTGGGTTGCCTTTATCTGACCTTGCTTTGTGCTTTTCTGGGAAATGACCTGTAATATGTTGTAAATAATCTAGATGCTTATCTTTATGAAGGAGCAATCAGCAATCCATCACTTTACAATTCTTCCATATAGCTAGCCTATTGAAACATAATATTTATTAAAATCAAAATCGATGTTGGAACTGCTTACTGAGATCTAAACACTTCTGAATCTTTGCTATGTTTGAATCTATAAAATGCAAATTAAAGTATTTTCTGCTACAACTTCTTTTTGTGAATGTAATTTTTGGGTTTTCACTTGAATGTTTTTTTACTTTTCATTTCATTTACCTTTCAGCTGCACTTTGTGAAAATTATGTAACTTCAATTATTTACATGTCAGTCACTGAAGCTTATGATGATGAGCAGGGTTTCGTTCTCACTTTAATCCGGTTCAAAAAAAGAACGCAGCCCGTGTGTCTGCCGCTGTTCAGAGCGTGCTGTCGTGTGTGGGCACAGCAGAAACCCCTGGGGCAGAATTACAGGATGTTCCTGTGTGACTACGGCCAAGTGTAGCCACTGTTTAAGTGCAGTTGGTTTAAGAGGTGTAAAGGCTTCTTTTGAAATGAAGTTTGGTCCATTCCATCCCTTTCCCAGACTAGCTTATCAAATCAATTTTGTAAATATTTTTTTCTGGTTGGTTTACTCAGTGGGGCCCTTCATGTGAAATTATTCCCCCTAAAGGGTTTCTGCAGCTTTCTCTTTCATTGCGTATCTGTATTCTTAACAAATTATCTTACTAAAAATTTGATACATGTATTTCATCCTGTTTAGGTGGGTAAGTCCCTGTTACACAGGTGAAGCCAATTGTAGTGATTTAATTTAAATTGAAGGTCTTACCTTTCACATTGTTGTTTCAATCTCCTGTGTTTTGAGAGTATTTAATTCGTTACTATGATTGGTTCTAGTCATCTGCGATTCCACTTTCTGCATGTGAATGTGGCACAGGGATTAAGCTTGTTTTAAGCACAGAATTCTCAGAATTCAGCTTTTGCTGTGCAGCTCTATCTGCTGTGAAGGAAATGTAAGTCCTGCAGATTTGTTTCACGCGAGCTCTTCAGGCAGTTTTGTACAAACACGATTGTAGAATTCCAAAGGGTTTAATAAAATTTCTGTTCTTCTCCTAACCCTCTGACACCTTTTTTTTTTTTTTTTTTTTTT